CCGTTCATATAGAAATTCGAACAAATATTAAAACACGTGCAGGGAGTTGATGAACACACCGTGAGTAAGCCGATACACATAGAGTGCGCGCGCCCCACATGTCTTTCACCGCCGGAGTATACCTATATATACACTTCCCCTCTCGTGCTTGGTAATTGTCCAAAACATGACATAAATTTATTTAATTTTAATAAGCAATAGCACAAAATCGATGTAAAATTTCCCTGGGAACACGATGGTGCAATTATTTTTTTGCTACTTGCCGCGGTTTACGAGATATTTGCGAAAAACCTTATTTTTTACGGTTTTTTGACCCCTTTCCTGACCACCTAGGTTAAAAATTTTTGCGGATTCGGATTGCTGAGGGTCGAATACATATTTGCGCCCAGGTTTGATCGACAGAGGAAAAAATGGAGGTTCAGCCTTCATTTCAATGGACTATCATGGTGATTTTCTGTATTAAAACTTATTTACCTGGTCGTAAATTTTTTGTTATTTATAGCATTTTCCAATATCATAAATTTAGAAGTTGCTATAATTTTCTGTAGTCATATTAATAAACAGTAAAATAAGATTGTTATATTTACTAATTATATTTAGTGAAATTTTAAGACTTATTTTTGAAAAAATGCATAGTATATGTTAAGTTTATTCATAACGGAATGTTTTTATAATAAAAGTTGACAATCAAAAAGATGAGAAGATTTATCATTAGTCTGACCAACCGTATTTCTTAAATTTCCGTATCAAGGCTCACTTCTGTTATATTCATCATGAACTTTTGCTTTTTTAGACCAAAAATTATTTTGTTTATTGGGTGAATTGGCAGTATGCAGGCGCCGGTTTTGGCAATGTTTGTGGCCTAATTTGGGACCAAAGGGGACTATCGCTCTTTGTCCTGTCTCATCGCTGTAGGCCTGTACCAAGGATATTTATAATGGCACTCGGAATCTTTTTACAATCGGAATACCATCCGATTATTTTACATTCCATATTTATCCTATGTTAATTTTTTAATACGAGTACGAGTGTATATCGAAAGAAATGGCAACATTTTATTCGAGTTTTATTCCTAACACACGTGCCACGTGTCACCCCTCTGAATTTTGAAAATAGCACTGATTTTTCATAAGAAAGACGTTTTAATTTGTTAAATAAAATAAAGTTGATTATTTTGCATATTTATATTTTAATTGTGTTTATTTTTGAAAAGAAAGTTATTTGTTAAATAAAATAATGCTTATTTTGCGTATTTGTATTTTGTTTACTTTGTATGTGAGTGAAAGCCAGTAATTTTATTAGTAAGTTATTGTACACATTATTTCAGTTCTTCATTTGCAATTAACGTTTTTATTGATTCACATTATTGAAGATAATTATGACATGTCTTTGTTTTTCTACATATCAGAATTTACTTAACACACATGCGGAATACATTCGATAATTCCGATTTCCATGAAACTAAGCAAGACGATTATGAAATGACGATTGACGATACGATACACTTCGGAAGGTAAATGTTCCACCACAATTCCACAATTCAGTTTTCAGTTCTCTATGCGTATACTGACCGAACGCAATAATCGGAATAGGCATCAGAATACTCGGAACTTTCCGATTATTTTTACAATCGGAATGTTTCCGATTTTTCATTCGGATTGGCCCATCACTACCAGTTTGCTTGGTTTGGTTGTTCTTCATCTTTACTTTGACTCTATTGTATAATTTGTAGTGTGTGCAGTTGTGGTTATTGTAAAGGTGCATATAAAATAATGAATTGTTATGCAAAATGTTTAAAACGATATGTGTAAAGAGATTTCCAATTTTGCGTCACATCTACCTAAATATGTATAGTTAGTTATACCGACTACCTATTACAGTATTACAGACAAGAGGACAAGGACAAGAACTACAAAAATGGACCAACAACTATACGTTTCGATATAATTTGAAGAGCAACTACTTAGTCAGTGAGAACTATTTGAAATATGGATGAATCAAGTGAAATAGACGTCATTCATTTAATATTTTGTACAAATGTTTATATTTGTTTATGTGTATAGGCATGCTTAAATAAAAGAGTTTAGGTGTACCTACAGATATTTACATTGTCAAGATATCATTTTGTATCCTTATTTCTGCTGTATAATTTATTATTATTAAAAGGATAGTTGTAATATTGACCATGCGAAGAAGAAATCATAACTTTATATTGTTTTTCAGTAATGTTATTTGTTTTTCATGTAGGTACCTATCATTTCAAGATTCATACTCATAACTAAATTTTTCTAATTATCAGTTCGTCATTGTTACCATATTCATGATGGTCTCAACATTAGAAAATTTCCATTTCAGAAGCGTATTTAGCGTAACAAGCGTAACAATATAAAATGTGTAGCTTTTTTAAATGCTTCCGATGTTGTTTTGTGACATTTTTATTTGTACGATGAATGGCAAAATTCGTAATCCATATTAGAAACTTTTTTCAGTGGCTTCTCAAAANCTCAAGGGCTTTGACTTCCGTATTGGAAACTTTATGCAAATCATGTCTCTTGCTTTGATTTCGGATCCTAGGAACGTAGGTGAGGTTGCTACTGGCGGACTTAGCCTCCAGATTGGAAACATAGGTGAAATTCTTACTTTCTTATTCTCTCCTGATAGCGGCTTCGGCTTCAGGATTAGAAACATTATGTAAGTTAATGCTTTGCCTTCGATTTCTTATGTTGGAAATCGGGCTTGGAGCTCGGTGCTGGATTTTGAGGTTTGGATTAGAAACATAGGTGAAATTTTTACTTTCTCGTCTGACAGCGACTTCGGGCTCGGGATTAGAAACATCGTGGAATATGCTTGTTATGGCAGGTTCTGCATAGAGAGCTTGCACTGGAGCGCTGTTCCGGGCGTTGAAACTTGGATTCGAAAGATAGTCGAAATCTGAAGTTCGCTCGCTCACATTATACGACATTGGGATTGAGGAAGATTATCCCTTTTATCCTGCCTCATCTCGTGTAGGCCTGGACAGCCCTCGCCATTATTCCATGGCTAGAAATTGGCCTCAATGATTTGTGATCGAGGGCGCGCCATTATTCCATGGCTAGAAATTGGCCTTAATGATTTAGGATCGAAGGGGATTATCCCTCTTTATCCTGCCTCATCTCGTGTGTAGACCTGGACAGCCTTCGTAGGTGGGCCCCATCCGTCGTCTACCCCGACCGCAAATGCGGCCGGTGTAGGCGTTTTGTGGGACCTTCTTTTGGTCCTAAAATCATGAACGAGTGGAGAGAGCAAGACGGCTACGGTCCTTAATACGGATTGTCCACTGCTTAGATTGTGACATTTTGCTTATTGTATCTAGCGAAATTATCACATTCTCGCATCGGCATCTGCTTCTAACGCATGCGCATCATTCCCTGTTTACTCGACAAGGACAGAGCGATGAGGCTTTCCTTCCGGTCAAGATCCAAACAAAACTCATAGTATATAGATAGTATGTATATGGTAATAACCAAGATCAGTAAAAGATCTCGGGTAATAACGTCATCACTCGAAGCTATGTCGGGTTTTTATTTGAATATTGAATAAGCATTTTGTCTCGATTATCCAGTAATCGAATATTCGAAATGTATTAATCGATGATATTATCCTTATTTATATAACATAATAAACGAGGGTATTAGTTTAATCTACCTCGATGAGGATTTACGAAAATTAACACGTAAAGGTAAGTTCATGCAGTAGCGATTTGCGATTTGCGGATATCAATTTGATTGGTTGAAATAAAATATTTTTGACATCCATTTCTTCATTTCAATATATTGCGAGAACCGCAAAATTTAAATATAGGGGCGGGAAAATAGAAACGGTTTCTATTTTTGGCGATTATCGCAATAATTTTGACAAACTGCGCATGTGCAGTCCGGCCAGTTCCGTCATTCACACGTAATTAAAATACTTATTAGTATCATGTAACCTCATACCTCATCTCATTTCCATTACCAAATTATGATAAGCGCCCAGAGGCCTGTTTTTTGCAAGTACTTTTCAACTTTTCACTTTTCTGGCTATATATTTTCTGTTTTCAAAATTAATATACAAAAAACAGATGGTAATCTGTACGATGAAAATGAATAGGTAGCTGCAACTTAAAACGCATAACATTTATGTTTATAAGAGAATTATTCTTTGCCTTTCCACATTTGTAAGTGAAAAGTGGAAAAGTACTTTAAAAAAATAGTCCTCCGGTACTCCGGTCTTTCCTATTTTAAAATAACGCTCTCACGGCACAAGATCATTTCTGACATGCAATATGCAATCATCTACAATCTACAACGCTATTGACAATAAATAACAACGTAATAAGGACAGATACAGTTATGTGTTCGCGTCTAGTGATGGGCATAATCGGATGATTCGAATAATCGAAATATTGGCACTCGGAATCTTTTTACAATCGGAATACCATCCGATTATTTTACATTCCATATTTATCCTATGTTAATTTTTTAATACGAGTACGAGTGTATATCGAAAGAAATGGCAACATTTTATTCGAGTTTTATTCCTAACACACGTGCCACGTGTCACCCCTCTGAATTTTGAAAATAGCACTGATTTTTCATAAGAAAGACGTTTTAATTTGTTAAATAAAATAAAGTTGATTATTTTGCATATTTATATTTTAATTGTGTTTATTTTTGAAAAGAAAGTTATTNTTTTTTTATCAAAGATATTTATTTTTACTCGTGTTTTATGTAAATATATAGATATTTTAAACGACTTGAGTTTTAATAATTAAAATACCTAGGTATATTTTGAGTATTAAATTGTTTTACTCACAAGTGTTATATACGTAATAAATAAGTTTTGGAAAAAATATTAAATCGGGGACTCTGTGGCCCCTTAACTCCCATAATCGCGCTTCCGCTGTATCATAATATAATCCCCATCCCATCGAGAATCAGGATGGTGACTCGTGACACCGTGCGCCGTTTATTAACTCGCAATCCGCAATTTCTGCCATCTTGGGTGTTATTAAGTGTCATGGTGTCACGTGGGCTGTTTCAGCACCCATGACACCCAGAGAGGTGTCAACACAAAAGCGCCATTCAACACGGTGTTACCCATGACTAGCCCATCACTAGTTCGCGTCTAGTAATCCCCAAATCCCTCCATGTCAATTTTCGTAAACTCTTCTCCTATCTTTATAATAGCCGTGAATTTTAAGAAACAGAAGATAGAAGATAACGACTTTGTACTTAATCTATGATAACGACATTTTTTTTATAACCTACAAAATTACACTAAATGTTGCAAGCATAGATAAAATATATATATAGGTTGCAAGCTGTAAACGATATTCATTCACTACCATTGCAAACTGCTTGTAATTTCGTTTGTAACAGATAATTTTAAATTAGATAAATAGTACTAAAGACAAAGGTCATATGCATGCGGGGGTATTCTATGCGCGTAGGTTACGCGTGAATCTGTTTAATTATTAAATATATCTTTTCAATAGTATAATATTTTAAATAGAAAAATGTCTCTTACTGCTGCTCATATAATGAAAAGTATCAAAAATGCAAAATCATTTGAGAAAGTGCTTGATAAGGTAAATTATCATTGCTTATATTACTCCTTAGTGGATAAAAGTTATAAAATAAGACTTATTTAAATGATAGAAATTTAATTTATTTTTAATTTTAAATCATGATTTATTTTTCAATCAATATAAAATGTGTTTCAGTTTTGTAATAATATTCCTTTAAATTATAAATGATAAGTTTTCTTCAGATTTCCTTAGACTGAATTTTTCTGACACTATAATATATTGCTTGTAATTTATCTTTAAATATAAAATATAAAAGGGTTTGTAAAATCTTTATTCCATTCTATACATAAAAATGATTCACATCGATTTAAATATTGTCCTCTGTAAAGGTGTGTTTCACTTTATTAAATTAAGTTCTCTACTGTTCCTTTTAATATACCAGTATATACATATTTAAATATAAATCACTTCCTATGTTTAATATATCATTTTTAGATTAAAGTAATCAGTCTTCAGGATGGAAATTGCTTAGCAGAAATGGAAGTAAGTGAAGAGCATACTAATCCTTTAGGTGGTCTGCATGGCGGTTTTTCAGCTACTTTAGTCGATAATATATCAAGCTATGGCTTACTCTCTCATAAATTTGGTAGTGTTCCAAGCGTTTCTGTGGACCTCCACACAACGTAAGTATTTATTACCATTTTAAAACAATTTGCATTTCTGTGTCTGTTAAATTAGATGAATTCTTTTAAATTGATTAATGTGTTTTGTAGTACCTAGTTATTGTCTGAATTTGTTACTTAATTTTTGTATTACCAAAGTAGTATAACTTTTTTGGGGTTCTAAACTCATAACTTATTTATATTACACTTCATGATTTAAATATCATTTCCTGATTAAACATAATTTATGGATAAATATTAAAAATCGGGTCAATTTTTATTGATTTTAATGATAATGATTATATTATGGTTAGCAATGGTCAAAAAAAGGATTATTCTTAGGAGCGGACTTCAGGGGGCTGTAACTCCGAAAGAGGGGACCACTTGGCAAAAATAACAAATACGGGTCGCCTAAATTTGTCTTAGGAATCTGTGACCAAATTTTGTTGCATGAATTTCGGGACGCCCTGTATTATTTTGTGGTAGCGAACTTTGATAGTAATTTTGTAATTTCTTTACCCTTGAAATTTACATTTGTCATTATTACCTGCCTAGATAAGCAACTAATGACATACACTATTTTAACCTATGACTACATAATTTATTCTACTTAACAAAAATAATTTAAACAACAATGTAGGGTAGTTATTCTGTTACGCTTTGAAATAAGAAATAAAGTGTAAGAATAAAAGTTATAAAAAAAATCTTTTAGATTTTTAATAGCTATATTGCGAAAAAATTGAACATTGTGTAACTGAGGTACAAGCCCTACGCATCTATATTTTTCCATATTTAGATAGAACATTTTGTTAAGGTAGTTAAAAGATTGTGCCATAAGCGTAATATGAAATTTTTAGTTGCTTTATCTAATACACTACTTACTTTTGTAGTACTTTTATATTACATACTTGCAAATGGTGGCAATTTGAGTAAAAATAAAACCTTTAAAGTAATAATAACAATAATTTGGCCTTTTGATACACTCTTGTGGCACTAATGTCTAGAGTCAGCGAATGTACTTTGCTTGGGGCTCCTGTATTCACATTTCACATGTGACAGCCAGTAATAACTTTAATTCAATGATTCCTAAATTTTTTGATGTTTGTAACATAATCGTGAGCTAGCACAACAGGCTTTGCAGCCTTAATTTACACGAAACTATTTTGTCAATAATGACTTATCAAAACAAAACGAGAAATTTCCTTGAATTGGAAAATTACAGAATTATGTATTTCGAATACAAAAACTTATAGATGTAAGAAATTAATTTCCCAATAACACGGCACATTTATTTCTTATAATTTTTTTGAACATAAAATAATATTTGTTAGTACTATATTTTTTGATTGAGTTGGTAAAACCTTCAGTGACCCCGATCTCTTCTGCGATCCGCCCAGGAGGTCACCACAATCCACACTTTGCAACCACTGCTTTAATAGAAATATTTTTGCAATTTAGGTCTTTTTTTGTAAGTTTTATATAAAAAAGCTGTCTCCAGACAAACAGACCTTATATACTGCTTAGTCACATGAAATTGTTTAATCCAAATATGTAAAAAAATACAGAATGATCATTTATTTTTGCAATATAAATGTAAAAAAATTCCTACACCGTTTATTCTTGACTTTTTTATATCTTGACCATCCTGTATATATTCAATAAATCTTGTTGTAGATACCTAAGGGGGGCCAAAATTGGTGATACAATTGAAATTGATGCCAGGACCCTTAGAGTAGGGAAGAGTTTAGCAGTTTTAGAAGTTTATATTAAAAACAAGGTTACAGGAGAACTACTGGTGAAAGGAAGTCATACAAAATTTTTAATGCAAAGTACAAACTAGTAAAATTTTTCTTTTAAGTAGAGTGTGTATAGATTAGCAGCTATTTTTGTTTATTTATTCATGTTTTGAATCATGTGTAGATATTAATAAATATTGAGAATATTAGATAATGTATTGGTATTGTGAAATAAATATACAATATACAGGTTTTTTTTAATGACAAATTGCCTGACTAATGTACAAAATATATAAAGTTTATAAAAAACATCTACTGTAGCATGGTTTTATGAGCCTTTATGGTCTACATAAAATATTAAAATTTCATTAAATTATACACGTAGGTTCAAAAGTTGAAGCCGTAAAGGTAAATAGCTGGGTACCCCTTTGGGGCTCTGTATCTCCATTACGCACTTTAGGAATTTTGTTTTATGACAAACCAGGAATATTTTGACCTTCCCTATACACTCCCGAGAGTATGCCATATACTTACCAGACACCCTGTATATTTATAAAAATTTCAAATAAAAAACAGGTTTTTGACGAGACAGTTTAATGTCAATTTTTTCAATATTTCTTTATTTGTAAGCAATTAGTTTGTTGATTAATACTACTAACGCAGAGTTTAGTGATTGCCTATATTTGTCGTTAAATTAACAAGACCTTTCTGTACTCTGCATCTAAGTCATTGGATATTAGTACCTATAACCGATGAAATGTAGATCTTTTTTTTAAAAAAAACTATCTTGTTATAATCCCTTACCCAAAATGGCTCAACATAATGTGCTGGCTTTATATACACATGGGTGTAGGTAGGATTTTCACTGGGGGTGAGCCCAGGGCCATATTACCTAGAAAGAACTAAACATTTTCCTTTTCTAAAAAAAAAATTGTCTAAAACGTCTCAGCACTTTCGTTTTATTCAAAAAAAGCTCACACAATCAGCGACTTGCCGATATAAAATTTCAAAACCTCTTTCCTTTGATTATACAAAAAAAAAGGTCACGCAATCAGCGACTTACTGATATGAGAAAGATGATGTTGGATCTTTTTTTTCGAGGTGGGCACCTTTCTGGAGAGTCCGTGCATGCACACGCGCCTGTTTGTACAGTCTTCAATTGCATGTTAAAAATTGTATTTACTAAAAACTAAACCACTACTAAAGCAATCATCCTGTAGAATCTATCATAATGAAATTTTATTACAATTCACTTAAAATATGGGTTCATAAATGACACTTAAAAATTGTGTTAATATTTAAATAATTCGAACAAGAATATTATTTTTCTGACAAAGATAGAGATATATTCATTCATTATTTAAAATTTCAGTTTATCAAAAAAAACAAATTTGATAGATACAACCAACATTACAAGGAGAATGATGTAATCAGTAATAAATACTGAAATTGAAATTTAAACCTTTTGCTTGAAATGTAGGAGAAACAATAGACCATTATTATAATTACTGATAATATAAATATCGTCAGTCGTCACTAAGGACTAGAGAAATATTGCTTTTATAAGCAATGCTATCTTTAAATCTCTGGTAAATATATAAAATTATTTAGATGTCATCTATCTATAATATTTTTTGTGAGACTGCAAGGTACCTATTTTGTATTTCAATCAAGTTAATAACAGAGCTAAATTAAAAATAATATAGTGCCTATATAAGTATAATACAAGCAGGGATAAGATATATGCTTCTGTTTTTATTAGCTGACCGTTGATCCAGAACCTTATCTGTTATAAACAAATTTAGTTGTTCCTAAATCATTTTTACGTTGTTGGATGAATTTTATCTATGATGAAAGTGAACTTCGCATTTTTTGTGTGCATATAGTGTACATACATTGTATGGTATGCTATTTCAAATTTCAATGAAACTTTAAGTAAACAGTGAAACGGAATATTTGGCCTTCTCATCATGGTATTATTACATTATTACTAGTACATAGTTATTTAAGAAATTGCTGAATTTATTGTTAAAACTAATTTGTAGAATTTTCAGATGACAAAAAAAGTCGTCCTAACCTCAAAATTGGGAAAGAAGTTTTCAACAATTTTTAATATTACAAGAAAAATGTCCAGTGATCAAAGCGATGTTATAATACAAAACGTAAGAGACAAAGGCGTTATAATTTTGAATAGACCAAAAGCTCTAAATGCGTTAAATATTTCTATGGTGAGAAAAATATATCCTGTACTAAAAGAATGGGAAGATAAAAAAACTCTGGTTATAGTAAAAGGAGCTGGTGAGAAAGCATTTTGTGCAGGGGGAGATGTTAAATCTGTAGTAGAAGCAGCAATAAAAGGTGATAAGTCTGTTGGTCAAACGTTTTTCAAAGAGGAATATATTACAAATGGCCTTATTGGTGCATATAAAATTCCATATATTGCTTTTATTGATGGGATAGTTATGGGTGGTGGTGTAGGACTGTCTGTTCATGGAAAATACAGAATAGCAACAGAAAGAAGTTTATTTGCAATGCCTGAAATGCAAATTGGCCTTTTCCCCGATGTTGGAGGTTCATACTTTTTACCAAGACTAAGTGGAAGACTTGGTTTGTATTTAGCATTAACAGGACATAGACTTAAAGGAGCAGATGTGTTAAAGGCTGGTATAGCTACTCATTTGTGTGAAAGTAATAAGTTGAATGAATTAGAAGAGGCCTTACTGAATTGTTCTAATGAACAAGATATTATAACCACCTTAAACAATTTTAGTAAGCCAGATAATGCAGACTTCTCTCTTACATCTGTCATGGAAAAAATTAATCAATGCTTTTCTGCAAATTCCATTGAGGAAATTTTAGTAAGATTAGAAAAAGATGGATCGATATGGGCAGAAAATACAATTAAACTTTTAAGTAAAATGTCTCCAACTAGTTTGAAAATCACATTCAAGGAACTTGAGCTGGGTCAAAAATTAAATTTACAAGACTGCTTACAAATGGAATACAGATTAGCTTATCATTGTCTAGAACATAAAGATTTTCTTGAAGGTAAGATTGCCGTTATTTGTGAAAAAAATTGCATAAATAAATTTATATAAAAGCAGTTTTTGAAAACAGAGTAATAAGTTAAGTTGTTTTTGACCTATGTTTTTTCCTAGCATTTTAAGACAATTAGATGAACTTTTAGGATTACATAGATATTTTTGTATCTTAGGTACTCAATAATTTTTTTGTGGGATTTTCAGTGACAGCAATGAAAGTTGCCATAGGTATTTTGACAATGAAGCGTGGGACCAATACCGTTTTTTAGGAAGTGATTTCTGAGTCTATATACAGGCTATCTACTATAAGAGAGTCACTCCTATGTGTCTCACTTAATACACCATGCACGTCAAAAATCTTTATATGTTTTTTGTTACAGTTTTTGAGGCTTTAATGCTCGTAAAAACAAATTTGAGGTCCATGTATGAGTAATCATAAAAAAACCAGAAAAGTGCCGAAAGTTTAGGGTCGTCTAACTTTTTTATATTGAGAGACAGTGAAAACTTATTTTTATTAAAATTTCATGGCAATATTGATACCTTTCACCTGTTGTAAACAAATTTTTAAAGTATCGTATGTAATTTGCTGCACCCTTTATGCGGGCAAAAAAAATTGTCATTGAAGGAGGCTATGGCCACAAAAAATTGTTTGTTTTTTCCTCTTTCATGCGATATACTACCTGTCGCCTTTATGTTTTATATTTATTACAATTTTTATAATTTTGGGATCAAAAACGTAGGTTAATGTAGAAATTGTTTTAAACACGGCAACTACAAAAAATTTAATGAATATGATATACTTATTTTAAGCAAATAATCTGCACTATCTGGCACTCATCAGTTTACCATCATAGAAGTAAGGTCGTATCAAGAATTCTAATCCAAACATTTACTGAAAACCTCTGTTGAAATGCAGTTTCTCTGTGCCAATGTAAATTACCATTAGTCCATTACTTGAAGTGAATGTTTCTATTAATAAATCCATTGTTACAAAAATTAGACACATCTGACCAGAGAATTCTTCTGCATATAAAAGGATCTTCCCTCTTTCTTTCTTGTCACCACCTACAGAGCCCTAATCTCCTCGCTTTATCTTCCTCCCTCAAGTGATGCACTTTATTCACCTTATAACATTTGAAACCATTTTTTCGTAATATCCTTCTTGCATTATCCTTCTTTACATTGTAGTTTACTTCAATCTCTCACTGTTTTGCAGATTTTTCCTATTTACATAATTTAAAATTCTGCAACATTACCTATTCTCAGTATGTGAAAATATCATTATTATTCAAAATTATAGTGAACTGTAACAATTTCCATACCAACAGTTGTGTATAAACTATAACAATAAACAATTAGTTAAATGATAACATTACTGGGGTAAAACATTTGTTTTCATAGTGTGCTACATTTAGCATAAGCTACTTTGTCTGTAGAAGAACAATGTTGAAGGTTTTCTTTAAAGTAATAACCAGTATTATAATAATTTAAAAAGAAAATCTGTATTTTGCTTAAAATAAGTACATTATATTTATTTATTAAATTTTTTGTAGTTAATGCCATCAAATTTTATTAAAATAATTTTTCTCTATCTCTTAAAATAAAAAAAGTTAGACCTTAAACTTTCGGTACTTTTTCGTTTTTTTTTATTACTCAAAAAGTTGACCGTGGATTTCAGATTTGTTTTTACGAGCATAAAGGCCTCAAAAAATGCAACAAAAAGATTTTTTACGTGCGTCGCGTAAACCGAGGTTCATAGGAGTCTTCCTCTTGTATAGAGAATTTTCGTGAAGAAAAATTTCAAATAAAATTTGCAAAATAAAAAATTAAAATAGGAGTGGCTGACGCAGAGATCTTGGAAAGGCATACATTTTTGTCAAACGTTTTTTTTTTCATAATCGGTTAATATACATCCAGGTGTTTTTTATTTCTTGCAAAACTAATTTTTCTTCATAGTGATATCAATTTGATATTAACTTCATAATGCTATAAACTTTAATAACGATTAAAATTTTGAATTTTGAAAAATAAGATGTCTCCCATTTGTATCCATCAGTTGATTATGAAAAAAAGTATGGTGCAAAAAAGGCCACCCCTATTTTAATTTCTTATTTTGCAAATTTCATTTGAAATTTTTTCATTATGAAAATTCTCTATATGGATTTAGAAATCGCCTAAAAAACAATATAAGTTCCACACTTCATTATCAAAGTATGATCATCACTTTAACTTCTGTGGTTCTTCTCATCATTGTTGGTTTTTACTAATTTTGCTGATTATCTATCTGTGCTAGCATCTACTATATCAATTTCCAGTTTTTTACTATTTTATAATAGTAATATAGTGTAATAAGTATTCCATACCTACCTCAATCAAAAAGTAAAATTATTGTGCAACTGACATATAGGTACCTATCTATTTCATGATTTGATTAATTTATTTAAAACAATATGAAAATAAATATTGTAGCTTTTGATCTTTCTCTTTATTTTAATGTAAAATTAAGAAGTTTGATTTCTAGATCCACATAGAGAACTTTCACGGCAAAAAATTTTAAACAACTTGCAATAGAAACCAAGCCTTAGTTTTGGAAAAAATGGGCGCACATATGTAAATATTAGATGACTGTCTAAGTTAAGAATCAAAGTTCTAGCTAGACGAGGATGCAGTCGTGGAAAAAATTATTGTTTTTAGTTTTCAAGCTTTCAAAACTTTATATGTTTCTTCATCAGGAAAATCTACAAGTATAATTAGGTAGCCTGTTAAAAAAATTTTATTGAAATACTTACTAATTGAGAAAATCATAAGTTTATTTGCTAAAGGCAAGACTAGGACTGAAATCAAACATAATAAAAAATTATTGGTCATTTGGAAATGGATGGCAGATAAGCCTTGTCCAGTCGGTCTCTCAAGTCCCGGTCCCTATTATTGTTGAAATGTTGATTTTATGAAAATGTATAGACGATACCGAGACCATCGATATCTGTCATTGCATTAATGGCATTTGCTTCCCTTAAAATACGGCATCTCTAAAAATTGACGTTTCTTATTGTATGTTTTCTCACTCTAACATGGTTGTTTTGTCAAAGTTGATATTATGGTCTAGTGATAAACAATGATTGTCCTGTAGACAACTGTGTTTGTTCAGACTTACGTTATTTTTATGTGCAGTAATTCTATCTTTTAGTTTTCAACTTGCTTGATCTGATTGATTCGCATTCCGTACATGAGATGCAATAAATTGCATATAAATGATACAAACAGGTTTTTACTTTTCATAATATTTTTGTTACTTGAACTTAGATATTGTATTTCTTGAAAAATAAAATGAGCAGCTGATAATATCAGTTGATTAGCAACCCTTTTCGAGATCCTAATGTTGTTCCCCATATTTTAATTGTTTATTTAAGAAATTTTCTATAAAATATCATGAAAATTATCTATGCCTAGAAATCATTTATTGTCAAATTATGACCACTTTAATATTCATCAGCAATTAATTCCTAGATAACAGTGTTACATTATCCATAACGGATTTCAGAATTAAATTTATTTACAGAAAAATCCAATGTTTATATTTTTTTGTAGCAAATACTCTTCAAAATAAAAATAGATAATACAAAATATTACTATTTCACATTCAACGAATTATTTCTGTAATTTTATTTTTGTTGTAAGCTTGACAAGAAAGGTATCATTACATAAATAATATTTTCCTTTATGGTTGTTTTAAGCATATACAACTTCATATCGCTTTACAAATAAATGAAAACTATTTATTTATTATATTATTATTAATTTCTTGACTTTATATTTTATTTTTACAGGTGTTAGGGCATTACTAATAGATAAAGATCAAAATCCAAAATGGGATCCACCCTCATTATCTGAGGTTACTCAGGATATAATAGAAAAGCATTTTTCTGATGTACCTGAAGAACAAGAATTAAAAAATAAACTGTGATAATATAGTCTTTCAAAAGGTGATCAGTAAATATATATTGTTAAAAAATTTTAAATGTTGGATATGGATTTAATAAATGGAAATAGATAAAAGAAATAATGATTTTATTTGAAAACTGTAAAACTGAACTCGTTGAAATATTTCTACATATACCTGTCCTTTCCCTATAAAAAATTTGTTGTTAAAATAATTTTACTATAACAATTTCTGCTTTCAAATTCAATAACACGGCCGCACACAAAAAAGGTTGTCTGTACTTCTCTTGCGTCATATCCGCAGTATTTTTGCCTCCTGACCACGAATCCGGTGTCAGAATTGAGCTCTCACATCACAGGAATTTCCTAACCTCAAATAACAGGTCAAAAATAGCAAAAATTTACGAAAAAATACTAGGAAAAATACAAAAAAAATGTTTCTATATTAAAATTGTTATATGGTTAAGACCCCGTCGAACGTGAATCCGTGGTCAGAATTGATGGTTCTCTTTCTAATCTCAAAAAAAACGGGTCGATTAAGGTCAAATATCACGAATTTTCAAAAAATATCCGACGTCAATTTTGCAAAATTCAAGATGGCGGATCCAAGGTGGCCGACCAAATTTTTAAAAAATAACACGTACAGTCGCGCCAGGGGTTTTCGGGGTCACTGATCACGAATCCGAGATCAGATTTACAAAATTCGTTTTTAAAAATTTAATCAATTACCTAAGTATTTTATTACCTGAGATTAGGCAGAAAACCCTTGAATAGATCTTTTATAGAAAATAGAATAAGATGTAGCCGAAAAAAAAGGTTAAAACATGATTTGAACATGACTCAGGTTATAAAGTAAATAAAAATATTACAAATTGAATTTCGCAATTCTGACCTCGAGTACGTAATCTGTGACACCGAAAACCTCCGTATACTAAATTTGGTGAGAATCTGTAATTTTTTGAAAATTTGGTCGGCCATCTTGGATCCGCCATCTTGAATTTTGCAAAATTGACGTCGGATCCGTAATCAGCGACCCCGAAAATACCCTTTTGAGGTTAGAAAGAGAACCATCAGTTCTCACCGCGGAATCACGTTTGGCGGGTTCTTAATAACCATATAACATTTGAATATAGAAACATTTTTTCTTGTATTTTTCCTAGCCTTTTTTTCGTGAATTTTTGCTATTTTTGACCTGTTTTTTGAGGTTAGGAAATTCCTGTAACGTGATATCTCAATTCTGACACCGGATTCGTGATCAGGAGGTAAACATACTACGGATAACTTATATCGCATGAGAAGTACATACAACTTTTTTTGTGTGGCTGTGTAATCATGATTTAAAATAAAGTAAACGATACCCTGTCAAAACTAATTTTTTTTCTTGCAATCAAGGAAAACCACTTGAGTTTTAAAAAATAATTTCATAAAAAACAAACTGATTTTTTTGGCACAAAAGATTAAATTTAAATTTTTTACGCAAATAGTAAAATACCCAAATAAACAGAAAAAAAGTCGTTTTATTAAGATTGCAGGTCTCGGCTTCATGATATTTACTCCCTGTACCCTGTATTGCAATTAAATTCATTATTAAGATATTTCGATATGTCGGATATGTGTTTTTGAATTAATAATATTTAGACATAATTTTTAATTAAATAATTATTGATTATCAGCTGTTTACTAGATATTGCTGGTATAATTCAATGCTAGTAGGAGCATGTAGCCCAAAGAGTAGTTGTTGGCCACAATATTGTCAGTTAAGAATTTTATCTACGAGTTACAGGTCTTTTACATATTTAGATTTTTGGTATCAAGAATATTGACTTTATTTGATAGAATTTTTGGAAAAATTTGTTTGGATTTATTTGAGTTAATACGTTTAAAGTTAACAATAAAATATACTGGATGTAACGTAAAGGTTGAGAATAAATTAAATTTTGTATTTTGACTTCCCCCCTTTTTTCAACATCGAGAGAATAAGGCACAGGTCTCGTAATTTAAAAAATCCTTTTTGTCCTCAATTTTCCATCTGGAAAATGGCGTTTCCAATAAAATATATACTGGATCATCAATAGAAAACATTTCTACAATAATTATTGAATTATTGATATAAAACAAATGTTAACAAAGATCCATTATAATCGTGCACTGGGCGACGTATCGTATAAACTGTTAAAAGAAAAGTAAAGGCGAGCGCGATGGCGATTGGCGATGCTGCTTCAATTTCCGCGTCACTTGTTCCCCCACGTCTCACTGTGGGGATTTCGCGGAAAAAAGTCATATATTCAATATACTATTAATGCAATATGCAATGGTATTTTTAAATTTCGAAATAACTGTTACAATCAAATCAAAAAGAATTACTTTGATCTGACTACTAGTTTTTTTTTTAAACCGTTTCAAACTCATTACTTGTATGTTTTATTAAACTGACTGAAATTTAACCTAATATTTCAAGACGAATATTATTTTATTGCTTGAGCTGACATCTTTATTTTTGTTTTTTATTTAAAACAGGATATTTCAATAAGCTAAAATTGAAAAAATAAACACTGCAGAGACTTTTATTTTCTGTTTAAAAATATTTTTATGAACATAGAATAAAAAAGCCCTATTTCTCCAAACACTTGGACCTCTAATTTTAGCTACATTTGCCTACAGTTGGAAACCACTACCAACACATTGTCTAATACCAGCTTCTACATTTTAAATCAATTTCAAGTGCTCCTAGGTGCTCCTTTTTAATTAGTTGCATTTATAACGGAACGCTACATAGGGAATTAGCTTCGTTCGAGTTCGTAAATTCGGAAGGGTGGGGAGCGCTGGGTGCTGCAACCTGACAC